CGCCCCGTCCCGCGCTCATCGGCCGGCCGTCTCATGTTTCGGGGGTCGGTGGGCGGCACCTGCGCAAACAGACGTCATTGCGGCCCTTCGTTGCGGTCGGTCGTGCTCACAGCGTCGCCCGGCCACCTATAAGAGGGGCTGGGCGCGCCCCGACCTGCATTCAGCTTCGACAGCTAGAAACACTTAATCTCATCAGACATGGCGAGGATCCTTCTTGTGGTGAGTCGTCCATGCGCTCCCGAGGCGGCGCTCACCCTGTGCCCCGATGGGCGCGGCGAATCGGATTAGAGACGCTATCAGATCCAAACACCGCCTTTTCATTACTTCCAATTAAGTCTACTGCTTTTCTTTGCATCGAGTCCAGTGTCCTGAGAGTTGTTGCCCTGTGTGCTGTTTCTAGGCTCTGTGCGTGGTGGGCTTTGCCCTGCTCCTCGAGGCCCAGCGTCAGGGCGGCCAGGGTGGTCGCGGCGGTCCCGGCGGTCCCGGAGGTCGCGGAGGTGCTGGCGGTCCCGATGGTCCTGATGGTCCCGGCGGCCCCGGCGGTCGCGGCAACGGCAGCCAGGGACCCCCTCCCCCCCCCCCCGGCAACGGCAGCGACTCCCAGGGACCTCCTCCTCCTCCCCCCGGCCCCCCCGCCGGCGGTAACAGCAGCGACTCCCAGGGACCCCCCGGCCCTCCCCCCGCCGACAACAGCACCGCCGCGGAGAGCGAATAAGCATCCAACCCCCTTTGACTGTCCACTGTGAAGCAATAAAGAGGGCGAGGAGGCGGCGGTAAAGAACTTTGCTTCCAGTCATCCCTGTTCCCCGGCCAGCCATAGAGCCCGGCCCGGCCCGCCCCAACACCACACGACGCGACGACGACGCGGCCGTTGGCGGGGTCAGTGCCTCCGGCAGTAACCGAGAGCACCTCGGAGAGCACCTCGGAGAGCACCACCGGAGACGAGTCCACTTCCGCGACCTACGCGGCCATCACTATAACCGCGTGTGGCCGCCGCCCAAACTCCTCCTGCTCCCCTTCCCGATGAACGCCGCGACATTTTGACATGGACATTCCGGCGGCACCTAAATCTATAATATTTTGCCTTTCTTGAAAGTAACCACCAAAATTTATAAATTAACGATGAAAGGGTATAAAAGTGAACACCATTTCAGTACTGAAACCTAAACTTAGAATTAGCATGCTGATAACAAATGACATGGGATATTGAAAGAAAACTTAATTCGAAACTTAATTTCTGAAAAATGAAAACTTACTCAACTGTTGGTCGTATTGACAGTGACAGGGGCCAGTGGCTTCAGAATTTCACGTTTCAGTTTTTAAAGTGTTTTTATTGAAGACAAATTAAGTTACATTTGTATTTTTACATAAGGTTGGTGTGCTGTTGCCCGTAGGCCTTACAGTATCTACTTATTATTTGCGATTCACGATTCTCGGCGATCTCGGCGCCTGCGAGACTCAGGGTAGGCCACCCCGCAGCACACGCAAGCACTGCTGGCAAAGATGTTGCCTACATGACAGGCGCTATGAGAACTTGCAGAGGCTGAACTCGGCAGGTTCGTAACGGTAATAATGCCGGATGTTCCCCTTCGGCAGGAATGTTGAGAAGTTGCCAGCACGAGTGCCAGTGTTATTACTCGTTATTTTAAACTGTGTGGTGCCGTGTGACTTCGCACTCGCAACTCGGGGGGAAAAATAGCGGCAGAAGCGGTATTTTTATTACAATTATACATGTCCCTACTCTACTCCTCCAATCTCCCCCTCCTCAGCGCAGACCTTATCCTCGGCGTGTGTTTGTCGGTGAGAACTCTGCTCTCCGCGCAACAGCTCGTCCTCTCTCATCGGGGTGGCTCGGGGAGAGAGAGGGGGGGGGGGCAATGTCCTGCCAAACAGGATCATTCTCCTCTGATGCACAGAGGAGGGCAGCGTCGGGGCAGCGCCTCCCCTTGACTCCAGGACCGCCGCCGACGCCACTCCGACTTTTGCGGGAGGGATGAGCTGGAGCAGACACAATGGGCGGACCAGATGTCACGGGCAGCAGGACGCGGCGAGGCGACCGGGGGGACGGACGCGGGGGCCACGCCAGAGCCACCCGGCCGGGGGCGTAACTGCGCGGGGCAGGCCGCCGAGATACGTCGGTACGGCGGGCGCGCGGGGCGGGGAGCGCGGGCGCGGCCACGCCGTGACTTCGGAGAATTGGGCAACCGGGTGGAACGATCATCGCTTTCAGCCCGTCCTGTCCCGTCGCGGGGCGAAAAACGAGGGGGGTACTTCTTGTCTATTGTGATTAAGTCTCTCCCCTCCCCTTTCTCTGCCACCCCCCCTCCCTATCCCCTGGTCCGCCCGCCGGCCACGCGCGGGCACGCGCGCTGGGCACACTCCATGCGTAGACAATGGGTGACCATCAAAACACCACAAAGGGTTTAGGATAAGAGATGCGCTTCATCCGGGGGCTGAGCGTGGCGCGGGGTAGCGGGG